GTGAGTTTTATACTAAGGGAATGGTCACATATGGCTGATTTATTTCATATGGAAGGAGTAACGCTAACCCCACCCTATCATCACTCAACATAAGTTTTGTTGAAAATGGCCCGTTTTGCAACCGTCCCCGCTCTCCCCTAGTATTCTTTCATGGTCTACCTTCACCATCTCGTAGTAGCTGCCGCTGGTGAGCACCGAGATGTCCCTGAAGAAGGGCTGGTCTTCATTATTCTTCAGGAACTCCAGCAGACTGTCGATCAGATGGTTGACTGTCCTCACGGCTTTCTGCTGGTCCAGTTTGCGCAGGCGCAGATCTCGACCTCTCTGACGGATCAAGCGCTCCAGCTCGACCGAAATGCAGGCGTCATCTCCAGGAGTTCCAGTAGAAACTGTCAAGATGTAATTATTACCTTTATCACAACATACGCAAATGCATCTCTGCAGACTATTTTGAAAAACTCTCCTCTTACAATGAGGCCTCATATGGAAACAGATTTTAAAATTCAAAAGCATTTTACATGATTATAAATGGTGTCAAAGAAGCACGAAAACCCAAGATTTCAATATGAAAAGTAGGAAAGCCAGAAAGATCAACATAGTAAAGATTCTCCATTACTTGTTCTTGTTCGACTTTCCATGATGGAGCTTTGAATAGCAAAATGTCAGATGCAGATCCTCTCAATATGGTCAATCCAGCCTGAAAATGAAAATTAGCATGAAAGAAAATGAAAAATGTTTTGTATCTTAAACTTTTCTTTCTGCTACAGATTTACCGAAGCGGGGAATCAGGAACACAAGCTGAAATCATTATTGTTTTACAGACAATTGTGAAACATCAGAGCTTTACAACCTTTTTATGGCTTTTATAAATTCTGAGAATAATAAAAGAACGAAAAAAAGTCATAATTTACAAAAAAACTAAATACTCCAGGACAAGCATCTGGAATATTTCGAATAATTAATATTAATATAACATTAATATCTTGCAAAAACAACAATAAAATACATTACTAAATAAAACGTACTGTTTTGAAGGATCTTTTGTCCATACACTCTCAGAAACAAAGGTACACGAGCTGTCACTGGGGTGGTACCTTTTTCGAAAGGTACAATTTTGTTCCTTAAAAGGTCCATATTAATACCTCAAGAGTACAAATTAGTACTTAAAAAGTACAAGTGTTCCTCTTAAAATTTTTAGGTACTAATATATACTTTAGAGGTACAAATATGGACCCTTCAGGTAAAAATGTGTACCTTTTGAAAAGTGACAGCTCGCATATCTTTATTTCTGAGAGAAATATATATATATATATATATATATATATATATATATATATATATACATACACACATACACACACAGTTAAAGTCAGAATTATTAGCCCCCCGTCAAATCTTTTTTCCTTTTTGTAATATTTCTCAAATTATGTTTAACAGAGCAGGGAAATTTTCACAGTATGTCTGATAATATTTTTTCTTTCTGAAAAAGTCTTATTTGTTAAATTTCAGCTAGAATAAAAGCAGTTTTTAATTTTTTAAGAACCATTTTCAGGTCAAAATTATTAGCCCCTTTATTATTCAATAGTCTACAGAACAAACTATCATTATACAGTAACTTGCCTAATTACCCTAACCTGCCTAGTTACCCTAATTAAGTTAAGCTTTTAAATGTCACTTTAAGCTGTATAGAAGTGCCTTGAAAAATATCTAGTCAAATATAAGTATATATATATATATATATATATATATATATATATATATATATATATATATATATATATATATATATATATATATATATATATATATATATATATATATATATATATATATATATATATATATATATATATATATATATATATATATATATATATATATATATATATATATATATATATATATATATATATATATATATATATATATATATATATATATATATATATATATATATATATATATATATATATATATATATATATATATATATATATAT